CAATCCTCGGTATCGATACCAAAGGGTATCGATACCAAAGGGCTGATATAGATACAAGTTCAACCAGTATCGATACCAAGACCTAGAAATCTCATTTTTCACATAGGATATGAACAATATTGATACCAGTTCATCCAGTGTCGATATTGTTGGCCAGAATCACAATGTTTTGCTTGGAAAACACCCCTAAACTAACCCCAAACACTTGTCTTAAGGTTTAAGTTGGTAACTGGAGCTTATAAAGGTTATTATGGGCCATCATACATCATTTTTACACCCATCCATCATAAAAAATGTATATGACATAAAATTAAGCACCCAACCCCCACATGCTTCACCATCCCTATACAATCAAGTTATGCTAAATGTTATGTACTACAAGTAGTAAGGAAGAGTTATAGTGCGTTACCTTAGCTCCTAGATACACAAAAACCTCTCTAACTTACCCAAGAATCAACTTTTTCTTGACCTAGCTCTTTGTGGAGTTCTTGGCCACTTTTTGACCACCAAATGCCAACCCACGGTTCCACATAAAAGAAGAACACTTGTTAAACAAGTAAACCATAAGAAAAACGAATGGAAGTTGTAACCGTAATATATAGAAGTATAAATTTGGACATGTTCTATATGTATCATGAATTAAATCTTACTAAATAAGGAGAGAATATACAAATACGACGAATTCAAGCATCGAATCTCTAAGCAAATCCAATCATTTTTGTTTAGTAATTACAGTCTAATTAAACCTGATTGGAATTCAAATAATTAAAATTTATATTGCTTTCACTTTTTAGGTCAAGCTCAATTTGAGGTAAACTTGTAGTGTTAGTGGAGAATTACTGAAAGTGTGTGAGCTAATAAGCCAAATTTAGAGTTGACTTGTATTAAACTTTACCTAATCTGTCCTCCAAATTAAAAGGCAAATCACTCTATTATCAACTGGTTAGTTCAAGTGGTAAGAAGTTTGATATTCATTTAAACAAGTTTCAAGTTCGAGTCCTTCTATATGCAGAAAATCCCCACTGGAGATTCACTCACCAAAGCTAGAAGTGCGACCTAGGTCGGTATGGATTAATTAAGGCAGAAGCCTTGGGAACCTAAAGGTAAAAAAAGGACAAAGCACTCTAGGGGAAAAAGGTTGCTTTAGTGGAAATGTACAATCCAATAACCAAGCTTGGTTGAGTTTCAAAACCACACCCGCCTTTAAATTTGAACTATTAACAATTCACTCCCCCTCCCTTGTAAAAATTTATAGATCATTTAAACAAGTTTCAAGTTCGAGTCCTTATATATGCAGAAAATCCCCACTGGAGATTCACTCACCAAAATCAGAAGTGCGACCTAGGTCGGTCTGAATTAATCAAGGTAGAAGTCTTGGGAACCTAAAGGTAAAAAAAAAGGACAAAGCACTCTAGGGGAAAAAGGTTGCTTTAGTGGAAATGTACAACCCAATAACCAAGCTTGGTTGAGTTTCAAACCCACACCCACCTTTAAATTTGAACTATTAACAATTCACTCCCCCTCCCTTGTAAAAATTTATAGATCATTTGAGGACCAAAGTTGTTATTTAACAATTAATGATGCTTTATAAATTTCCACCCTTCTCAGAATACAACTTGTAAGCTAAACATTGCCATGGAAATGGAGATGGAGTTGTCTTCTCTTGTTTCTCTCGTTGTACCTATTATTCTTCTCGTACTTCCTGTTATTCTCGTTGCCACCTTTGCACTCAGAACCGAACCCAGATCAAGTAGCGCCAAAGGGCTTCCACCAGGGAGCTTTGGATGGTGGATCATGGGTGAAACTCTCGAGTTCATGTTTGGGAACCCGGAAAATTTCATGCTTTCTCGGATGAGAAAATATTCTCCACATATTTTCAAAACAAAGATTATGGGTGAAGAAACTGCCGTCATATGCGGTCCTGAAGGACACAAGTTCTTGTTCTCCAACCAACAGAAACTGCCGGGATTCTTGAAACACGAAGCGCTCGTGAGGTATTTGGACAAAATGGACGCCATAACGCAGCAGCAAATGAATAAATACTGGGAAAACAGAGACCAAGTCGAGGCCTTTACGCTTTCGAAGACGTTAACGTTAACACTCGCGTGTCGTTTCTTCCTGGGCATCGATGAACCCGAGCGTATCTCTCGGCTCGTTAACCACTTCGACAACATAACCGTGGGGATGCATTCGCTGCCTTTGGATTTCCCGGGGACCGGTTTTTACAAAGCGAACAAGGCGGCGAAGGCGATCCGGCGGGAGCTTAAAGAAGTTATAAAGGAGAAGAAAGCTTCCATGGTGGCGGGAGCCGCCATGCAAGACGTACTTTGTCATATGATCGTGACCACCGATGAGGCCGGAAAATTCATGGCGGAGACTGAGATCGCCGATAAGATTATGGGATTGCTGGTTGCCGGATACAGTACCGTGGCTACTGCCATGACTTTCTTCATGAAATATGTTGGCGAAAGGCCTGATATTTATGCCAAAATTCTAGCAGGTAATCACACTAGGATGTTATAATTAGGCATAACGATTTAATTCTTCTCCCTATCTAGTTCTAACCCCGTCCCTGAATGCAGAACAATTAGAAGTGGAAAGTGGGAAAAAAGCAGGGAAGCTCTTGGAATGGGATGACATTCAGAAAATGAAGTATTCGTGGAATGTGATATGCGAAGTGATGAGACTGACGCCTGCGCTTCAAGGAACATTCAGAGTCCCCTCTCTGATTTTACTTATGCAGGTTACACTGTTCCCAAAGGTTGGAAGGTATGTATATATTCCAAGTTTTTTTTTTAAAATCTCTAAGGCTAAAACTTTTAACATCGTGTGTGTGTGTGTGTTGCAGATATATTGGACAGTGAGCACAACAAACAAGAACCCGGAATACTTCCCAGAACCGCAGAAATTCGATCCATCCAGATACGATGAAGGAAACAAGTTGCCAGCATTTGCGTTTGTTCCGTTCGGAGGGGGGCCTCGAACGTGTCCAGGCAAAGAATACGCACGCCTCGCTATTCTCACATTCGTGCATAACGTTGTGAAAAGGTTTGAGTGGGAGATGGTGAATCCCAAGGAAAAGATTCTGTGGCGTATGATGCCAACCCCAGCTAATGCCCTCCCCATTCGTCTATCTCCACGTTATTCAACAACCTTCTAGACTTTTTTATCGTCCCCTGCCCCAACACCGGATGTTGTGATAAAAACATTAAAATCTATGATTGGATTGGATGGGGCATAGTTTAAATACGAATCACGTATAACGGTAATGCATGACATAAATTGATATGATATTATTGTATCCTAGAATCTTTTACTTTCCTTCTTTCTTTTTTCACTTTCTTCTTTAATTGAAAAGGAAGATACAACCGAACAGAAGGAAGCGTTGGTGTCTTCCCTTTTCATTACAATGGTTGAATAATAAGATCCGACCCTATCTTATACCAACTTCCTTTTCCCCCCGTTTTGAATGTCTTAACTTTAGCTCTTAGCCAACAATTTTTAGCTTTATCATATTCAATATGTATTATTTGAAATTAGAATTGCAAGTAATTAGTGTAGTGTGTTAACCCACCAATCCCCATCTCCCGATTTGGTTTATTGCACGGATGGACATAACAAAGGGCCACGATCCCGACTTGACCCAACACAAAATCCAGTCACTCGATTAAGATCATTAAATGCAATTAACAATAATTTGTCATAGTTTTAGAACAATTTCTCTTTTTTTTATTGAGGTTTTAGAACATTTTCAAAATTTAAAAACGTTACACATTTTTAATATATTTTTTGAGTATTTTCAAATAAGCATATATAAATGTCTAGAAAATATTTGAAAAGCACAGATAAATACGAAACATACCAGTAGCGGTACATGCTAATACCGAAATAAAAAAACTGTACATCCACCGATACAGTTCAGACTATTTCGATACTTGATCAAACGCCATTTATCTTTTTGATTTTGGAGACATCATTTAAGAACAGTTCGTAAATGGAAAGTGGCCCAGCAATTTCTTTCTTCTCACTCTTCTCTTCCGATTGCTTCAAGTCAGTCAAAAACGCTAAAGACCTCAACCTTTGTGATGAAATATAAGACACAAAAAGAACAAATTAAAAAACTAGAATGAAATCAAATAAAGACTCAAAGGTAATACAGTCTAAAGCTGAACATGGTACTCCTTTGGACATGTTGCTGAATTCCCTATTAAACGAGGTACTAAGTAGAATACAAGTATGCGTCCACTGTCTAGGATGGATTTTCGAAAATTGAACATGTACATAGAATACCCTAAAACATGAATATGGAACACAATTACTTGACCAAATAAAATGTAAAGACAAAAGTAACATAAAGCTATGTAAACAGAGAACATCTATATGAAGAATATTGCCTTCTGCAACTCTTCCATGCATCGATCATACTAAATGACAATTTTTCTTCTTATTTTTTATTTGGCATCCATGGAAAAGATGCATGATTATTAACTACAAATAACAAAAGTAACACAAGTTACTTAACTACCATTGGACACACTCTGCCAAGCTATCCACAAGGGTTCTCCTCAAGGATCAAAAGCTATGTTACTCAGACTAATTCAAGGACGAGCATCATATACAAGTATATATCTCCAATCCATGCATACAGTTTTATGTTTTAGACAAAATTGTTGATCACATCCACGTACTAGGGAAGAAATGAGAAGTCGGGGGTAACATAGATCAAGCAACATATTTTAATTAAGAAATTTTAATACTAACAATAAAATACCTCAAGGAAAATCCCCCATAGAAATATAGCCACCAAAACTCTTATAAATGCAACTACAAAGTTTAGATTAAAGATAAAGCATACACATCCAACATGATAAACATTCACGAGTGAAGTTTTCTCTCCAAGACTCAAACAAGGCAACATAAGTTTACACAAACATATGAAATGCAGAAAACCTGCATGCTGATCTCTTCAGAAGATTCAGCTTCATGAAATGACTGAACTAGTCCTAGTTAATCTCTAGCACAGATTGGTGGCAAAATATAATCTATCAGTCCAGCAAAATAGACAATAGAAACAATTGGAAGCTGAAATATGCCGTACCAAATCAAAAGCACTCCTACTGCTGCTGCTGATTCTGTTGCTGGTTTTGCGGAGGTGGCGGCATTCCAGGGCGTGGCGGTCCGAAACCAGGGACAGCACCCGGAGGAGGAGGCATTCCCGGCCGTTGTGGAGGTGCACCAGGCATCCCAGGCCTCGGAGGTGGCGGACCAGGGGGGGCTCTCATCATTGGTCCCGGAGATGGAACCATCGGCCTCTGACCAAATTGTGGTGGTGAGACTTGGTATTGCTGAGGCGGCCTTACTCCAAATGCTGGTGGCGGTACCGAAGGAGGTGGGCCGCGTTGCATCTGAGGTTGCTGTGGCTGACCAGGGTAAGCCCCGGGCGGCATTTGCCCAGGCGGACGTATCACAGGTGGACCTCCACCAGGAGCAGGGTAAGGCATCGGAGGAGCCGAAAGCTGCGGAATCGACGGGCGTGAAATCTGGGGCTGCATCATCCTGGGAGCCGGACCACCAACGCCACGAACGGGCCCAGCAAGACCCGGCTGCGCTTGAACGAAAGGACCGGTAGGGATACCACGGCCACCAGCACAACCAATACCAGGTCCAGGGACGGCATTAGCGGCGGCGGACTTAGAACGAGACTCTTCAGGAGGAGGAGGACCCTCGACGGTCATAGAGATAACCTCTTCGCCACGGACAAGTACAAGCCCAAGCGTTCGACGATCTTCACGTTCCTCGTTAGTGCTAGGGTTTTTCTTCCCTTTAGCAGGAGGAAGCTTGCGAAACTCCTCGCAGTCGCCGATGACGAGATTCAAGTGGCGATCGAAAGCCATGAATTTGCCCACCAGCTGCCGCCCGTCTTGGATAGTGACCCGCATCCGGTAGTTGATGAACTGCAGCATTTTGGAACTCTTTGACAGCGACATTTTGGCGACTCACAGTGCCGAACGGGGAGATTTAGGAAGAGGAGAAAAAACCCTAGCTAGGGTTTTGCAGAGAAATCTGTTCTATTTGACCCCTGGTTGCCTCGTATGCCCATAATAATATAGTAAATAGGCAATAGGTTAGACCCAAAAACCTTGGCTGGGTCAAAATATGCATATAGTCGCAAACTCGCAATCCTCTTTTACTCTTTTTCCGTATTATTTTTATTTTACGATCTACCAATATCTCTATATATTATAACAAGAAAATCAAATCAGCTTTATCTTCAAATACACATAGATATATGTATATTAATAGAAGTTTTAATTGAGTCCGAAGTAATAAATTAACTTATGTATATCATATAATGAATCGGCTACTCAGTATAACTAAATTCCCAAGTAATGGGAAATAATAGCAGTTGCCTGAATTTCCCCTCCCCTCTTCTATGCCAAACATCGAAGAAAAACAGCCGAAATCCGAGCTGTTTGGGGTATGCTATTAAGCCCTAAATTCTTTCTTTTACTACATAAAACCATCATCTATGATGAACTGTATCCGGCACGGTGCTCCTTTTGCCATCTCCATGCAATCTGTAAACTCTCCACGAGATCGGTATATCGAGCTGTCCAGTTCAGTTCTTGCTTTATCTTGGGTGGGTCGCTGAACACTTCTGCGTAATCTCCTGGCCGACGGGGAAGATAATCGACTTTTATATCCGCTCCTGTGGCTTTCTTACATGCCTCTACAAACTCCTTCACCGATCATCCTTTTCCCGTGCCGACGTTGTAGATTCCAACATTACGAGGCTTTGCATGTTGGAGGGCTTTAACGTGAGCATCGTCCAGGCAGTAACGTCGATGTAATCACGTATGCAAGTTCCGTTGTGTGTTTTGTAGTCCGTTCCCTTCACCTTCTGATATATGCACCAGGGTTTAATAAGCAAGCACTTGAGACCATGAGTAAAGTGAAGGGGGTGAAAGGTATAGCCTACCTTGATGCCAGGAATGATGCCACGAGCTGCATCGAAACAAGCACCCGAAATTCTTCCTTGGTCACGCACCGGGTCTTGGAGCTTTGCCTAATCTTCCTTCCGGATCCGATCCAATCACATTGAAGTATCTGAAAGTCGTTCCACCAAAAAGGAAAACATATTGTTGGAACATGATAATCTGCATATCCAAATTCTCGGAACACTTGGAAAGAGAAAAGAATACAAACCTTACGATCATAATGGCCATGTCTGAATTCTTAGAGAAATCCAGAATCATATCCTCAGCCATCTTCTTAGCTTTTCCATATGGATTGATTGGAGCCTGAGTAGGTTCCGAAACAAATGTCAGTTGCCGTAAACTATAACCGCTATATCAGAATATAACTAAGCATTAAGCAATGTTTGCAGCTTGCCTGTGGGGTTTCTTCAGTGATCGACATATTTTCAGGCTCGCCGTACGTTGCACATGTACTAGAATATATCAAAGTCGGAACAACGAGAGCAGCCATCGACTGCAGGACCGTCAAGGTGTTCGAAGTAATGTTATGATGTCGTATGGCCAAACATACAATTGATATAATCATAGTTTAAATACCATGGAAAGATATATTTCGAATAATAAATCGTAAAGGAGACTTACCGGAGAGGATCCATCGTGCTCTCCCCAACATATGCAACTGCCGCAAAGTGCATAACGGCATTGAATGCATTTTCCGAGAATATTTTATCCACCTAAAATATGAAGTCAAGGAAACAGTAGGCAACACATCCATGTTTAAATGTACAACAATCGTAATAATTTTCATTAGGATACGACTTCTGCATCGCCAAGATCGGCATAGATGAACTGAAGCCTTCCAGGTTCTGGAAATAATTCCTGTAGAACCTTGACAGCACCCATGTTTCCACGAGAAAGATTGTCCTGCAAAAGAAGCCACTCCTTCCTTAAAACCAACCAAATTAGAAACGAGATTGTTACATATATGCTAAACTTAAAAACATATCACAATTGTTACTCGGTAGTTCTCCTTGAGAAGTCACAAAGCAGCATGCGAACCGATATATCCGGCACCACCAGTTACAAGAACATGAGTTACCCCTTCTTCGTGTTGGGAGAACTGGAAGAAAAAGGACAGGGGAGTCAATAACAGAGAAAAGATGTCGGAAGTTGAAACATTATACAACTTTTTAAACAGAAACTGTGACGATTTTCCTCGAATATTAACCACAATCAAGAGAACAGTTCGATTAATCGAAACCTCAAGGAAAATCGCATAGGGACATGCAACAATTATTGCTCTTTTAAGAACCGAACGGCCAAAAAACTTGTTTCAACTCATCAGTTGACACCAATCCCGGGTTTGATCCCTAGACTACACCTTCCCGGCTTCGAAAATAACAATCTTTAAATAGGGGGAATGGATCAATATTAGCATGCAATTAACAATTATGGCTATATGCGGTTCAATTATCAAACTAACCAAGATATCTGCAACATTTCTGTATGCAATATGTATATAAGAAATAGCCAAATATTACATGACTGGAAGCACTAAAGGATGGATATCTCTTGAGCATGATGATACATAAGGCCGTGAGTACCACAGCCATAAGGACTTTCCCGACCAAATTGCTCTTCCTTTTCGGATCAGGGTGTTGTTCCACGGCTACATACAAAAACAAAGCCAGCAACAAATTAACACTAGCATTGCATTCAAACACCAGCAAGTCGTATTTAATATGTGGATTAAGCAACAAATTGTAACTAAGAAAAGGAAATGTTACCGGCAAACGGCATGGCTCGAGTCGACCTAGTCTGGCTTCTTCCTCTTGAAGAATTCAGCATTTGGAAAAGGCTTCAAATGAATTTCTGGTATGCAGAACAATAACCACACTCGATTTCAATGATGAAATCAAATGACCCTTCCTCGGACATGCTTTTCTAGCATATGTGCTGCAATATACAAACTGTAACACCCCAACCGTATCCGACCCGGATACAAGTCCGAAGTGTCACATTGACTTTTCAAACATTTATTCGTATAAAATAGTGAGTAATTTAAAACTTTTATAACATATAAATGACTCGTTTACATAAAAGACATTTTCATTACTACAAAACCAATCAGAGCATGTATCTTTCACTTATTATTTTCATATAACTATTCGAAACATTTATAAAACGGTTCATAGCTTAAACAATAGATTCTTTTGGAAAACATGCCAACTAGAACTTTATATACTAAAATACATATTATTCACATCTTTTCTGATCTGACCTTTAGTAAGGAGAACTGACCTTTCTTGCTCCAAATTGCTCTTTCCTCTTCTCGAAACCTACGTGTAAATCACTTACACGCTAAGTCAAAGACTTAGTGAGGCATATAAACATATAAGGTAAACGGTAACTAATAATCATACCTAAACAATTCTTACTATCATTTCATACCACTCATACTTTTACATGTAACGAATATATGCATACATATATGTCATTATCATTCATATATCTTATCTCATGTTCCTATGATCTCTTATGTCCATATCATATAACATATACCATAACCAATTGCACATACACATACCATGTCATGTAAACCATATATATATAGTATCATAAAACACGTACACCCAATCAATTATATTATCATCTTCATTTCTTTCTTATTTTATAACTATCATTGATTCCTTTCATCATATAGTCTTATAAGTTACCATTTGTACAATCAATATCACACATGAAATTCTACAAGGGAACAAACATATTATCCTATCACTTTATTAATATTATCTATTTAATAGCCCATGATACTCATGTGAGAACTAAAGATATGCGAGTACATAGAGGTTGTGCACTAATGCTGTCACCACAGCTCATATAATTGCACTGAAGTGCCACGTAGAATTGCACCGGAGTGCCGCGTAGAATTTCACTGTAGTGCCATATAATAATGTCCATAAGGACCACATATCATTCCTTAAGAATCATATACATATACTAGGGATCAAGTATGTGTCTCACCAGACTTCACACCTGTTCCAAAGAATACATATATGTCCCGAAGGACCGCATATCATTCCTTAAGAATCATATACATATGCCAAGGATCAAGTATGTGTCTCACCATACTTCACACATGTTCCAAAGAATACATATATGTCCCGAAGGACCACATAGACCCTCGACTCTTGGCATGCCAACTATACCCCTAGCTCTCATGACACATAACATGGGCATTATCTTTTATATCCTTTTACATATTCATGTAACCATATCATATATTCATATAAGCTCATGGTTTCATTCACATATACATGTAATGACGTAGTTTCTTTCATGTAATTCATGTCACTTTTCATATGAATTCATATTCATATGTCACATAGGATTCATCCTCATGTATCACATATACTTTCTCTTTCATATGGCTCATAACATTTCTCATGTGTTCATATTACATGTAACTCATTGTCATCTTATCATGTTATCACATAAACATATAATCTTACAATACATACAAAACATATCAATACCTATATTCGCATATACCTATCACTTCATTATCCTTATTATTATTCTTATCATCACCATTAATCCCTTTTACTTACCATATTCATATCAATAACACATATACCCATGCACACATATAAATCATAACAAATACATACTTCTATGAATTCATGTTTTTCACTATTGGAAATAGACTTATCACAAGTCTTATTTTCCCTTGAACCTCATATACTAGAGAATGTGCACTCACCTTAGCTTTGCTTTGATTCGATTATAATCCTTCAATTGATCCGGAACGGGATCATGTTCTATATCTACATCATCATACATAGATCTATATTAGTATTATAACTAATATACTCTAATGGTTCACTCTTTAGACCAAGAGAAAAGTCAATTTCATCTTTTAATGAAGGTATGCATCGATGCACTACTGATGCATCGATGCATAAAATGTATTTGATGTTGTATTATTACTGGGATGCATCGATGCATGACTTATGCATCGATGC